CATCACAATAATCCACAAGTAATCCACAGCACTCCAGTCCATCAGTTAACATCTGGAGAAGACAAAAGCTGAAACAAATCCATAATTAAGACGTTTTAAACTAAAATATGAGTCCATATAATAACGCTTTCTCCAGTGAAAAAGTGGTCTGGTCTGAAACAGGAGAGAAATCTGCACAGATCAAGCACCGTTTACAAGCCAAAACAGCTCTAAACAAATATGTGGCTGGATTTTGATGTGAGAGACAACAGGAGATGGACTTTTTCACTGGAGGAAGCGTTATTATGGATTATGGACTTGAATTTTGGTCAGAAGTGACAGTTTAGAGATAAAGACATCTTAATTATCAATTAGTTTCTTACAAACGCACAGCTTTTGGCTACTCAAGACATTAATTCAACACATTAAATACAGGCAGCCATATCACCCTGCAGCCCAAGACTGGTAGCCCACTGAAGCTAAGCAGGGCTGGGCTTTGTCAGTACCTGGATGGGAGACCTCCTGGGAAAACTAGGTTGCTGCTGGAAGAGGTGTTAGTGAGGATAGCAGCGGGTGCTCACCCTGTGGTCTGTGTGGGTCCTAACACCCGTGACGTAGTGACGGGGACACATATACTGTCAAAAAATACCGTCCTTCTGATGAGACATTAAACCGAAGTCCTGACTCTCTGTGGTCATTAAAAATCCCAGGATGTCTTTCGAAAAGAGTAGAGGTGTGACCTCGGCATCCTGGCCAAATTTGCCCATTGGCCTCTGATCATCATGGCCTCCTAACAATCCCCATCTCTACTGATTGGCTTCATCACTCTGTCTCCTCTCCACCAATAAGCTGGTGTGTGGTGGGCGTTCTGGCACACTATGGCTGCCGTCGCATCATCCAGGTGGATGCTGCACACTGGTGGTGGATGAGGAGATACCCCCGACAATGTAAAGTGCTTTGAGTGCCTAGAAAAGCAGAAAAGCACTATATAAATGTAATGAATTATTATTATTTCACTACAGAGCATCCACTGCTGAGCAAGTGATGCAATGCTACATTTCTCCAAATCTGATGAAGAAACAAACTCATCTACAGTACATCTTGGATGACCTGAGGATGACTAAATAAATTTTTATTTTTGGGTGAAAAGAACTCTTTCTTTTAAGAAATGTGCCATTTAATTGAATCACTCTTTATTTTATAGCTAAATACTGCAACATTACAGAAAGTAGAGTGAGAGCCATTCAAGATTTGTGTTTTTACAATGGAAAGACACTCACATACACAAACATATTTACCCACAAATACCTGCTTAAGCGTTGTAGCTTGGGATTTGTCTGATTTCTTACAGTTTAATCCTTTTAAACCCTCTCTTAATTCATGGTTGTTTAGCGTGCTTTCTTCAAACATGCTCGGTTTTGCCGCTGTGAATTGTTCAGCAGTTGATTTAAGACTGAAATACTCTCTGTGTGAGTTGGGATTACTTTCATTTGGCTCGCAGTGAAGGCTTGTGTTTTTTGGATAGTCATCTCTCTTCGTCTGACACGTCGCTCTGAAGCAGGCTGTAATAGATGACTGCTGTCGTTCTGCTGTGACACAAATTGAGCTGGAAGCCTCTTTAAATTTCAGATGTGAGTGTGATTTAAGTGTGCTGTTGATCAGGGCATCAATGGATGGATTGAGGAGGTGATTAGACTCTATGGTTCTCTGCTATAATTCTCTTACCGTCTAACTCCAGAGATTCTGCTTCCTTCCTGTAAGTGGCTGCCAGTCAATAAGGACTCTTGTCACCTCAACTCCTTGCAAACTCAAGTGATTGTAATTATGCTGACATATTATGTCTCCTTAGGGCCTCTCCTGGCCTTTAACTCCCCTTATCTTAATAGTCTCTATTATTGGCCACTGCATAACAAAAGCAATTTTTCATGCTGTTTTTTTATTTAAGTTTTATTGTGTAAACATGCATAAGGCTGATATAAGCCAAAATGTATGTCATTGTATTTGGTATAGTTTTGGTTTTACATTTTTATTTTGTTTCTTTTCTTTTCTTATTTGAGCAGTAATGAACATGAATGAAACAATTTTAATACGTTAAAGGTAAATATAAAACATTAAATGTAATAATTTGCATTAGCGACTCAGAGGTTGATTAATTAACCCACTTGACGAATCAGTTTCATTCAGTGAAGGATTCGTCAGACTAATTCAAATCAGTAACGTCAATGAGAATGATTCACTAAAAGAACCGGTTCAATTGAATCACGTTGTTCCACACATCCAGTCTGTAATTACAAATATTTACATTTTACTAAGCTGCACTAGAAAAAAAAGAAGAAAAACAACTTATATTTTTTAGACGGACAACGCTCAAAGTAGTAATAGCATTTTAGTCAAGTGTTTATGATTCAGATACCGCTTTGGCTTGTTCAGTTTCATTCAGTTAAGGATTCTTCTGACTAATTCAAACAGCAATTATAATGATTCACTAAAAGAACTGGTTCAACTGAGTCATTTATTCTTCCACGCAACCAAAAAATGCTGGGTTGTTTCAACATTTGACGGACAACATTTAAAGCAATAATAATTGGCATTTCAGTGAGTCTGATGTTGATTCAGTAATTACAATGTTTTATATTTTATGAACTTTCAGTAGCCAATAAGGAATAAATAAATAGTTATTTGAAGTTCATTGGAGGATTCATCAGACTGATTCATACCAGTGAAAATGATTCATTTAAATAACCTGCTCAACTGAGTCATTTAGCCTATTATGAATCGGACTACATGGATAGCGCTGGTGTGTTTGTTTTGGCGTCTTTGTCGTGAAACACTCAAACCTAGACGAGGTCTTTTTTATCTTATATTCAGTTCAGAGTCAGACTGCAAACTATCATTCATAACTCAGGTGAATATGGTTTCTTTTGCCTGCGCTCGAGATTTAGTGCCTCAGAAAACACTGGCATAATCACCAAAGAATGGATACTCACATATTAATTCCGGTTGATATATTTTTTCGGTATATCGCTTTAACCGCCCACACCTGCATCGGATGGATATCTTTGACCGTTGCGTCGCATTAAATGTCTATGAGCGTCACCATTTTATGATGCTGAAAAACAGTCATTAACTTTATTATTATCTGTGGATAAAATGGTTTTTGCAGAATGTCAAATCTGCTCTTTTCAGTACAACTCAGTAATACTGTGATAGGAGCCTGTAAAAATATAAAAACACCATGAAAATATAGTTCATATTACTGATGTGCTATATTATTAGTCTTTTGAAGTAAAAAATGTACTGTTAAGGTGTGCTTTTCGAACCTGGTTATTTTATGGAAACATTGCGTAAACGTTCTGACAAGTTCTTGTGTTTCCATGGAAGGATATTATTGTTTCATTTTTTGGGGTTGAACTGTACCTTACCTTAAATTTGAGGTGAGTGACTTTAAATGCAATCATTTTGAGATTTGATTTAATTTGATTTGCAATAGGAAAAACAATTCATAGTGGTCTTGCTGAGAAAAGTTTGTGTTGCACAATTGCTATTATTCACACGCTCTTCAAAAATCAATAGCTTCCTTTGACTCCCAGCAGTGGGAAACAGGGTCTAAAAGTGCTTAATAACGGTCTGCCCTCTCGGCCCTGGCCGCAGAGATCTTGGCAGATTCCCCGCAGCAGGAAAGCACTGCGGCATTGAATACGAGTCACTGAGTGACACGGCCAGAGGTCACGGCCGCATGGATTCCAGAAAACACTCTTTGAGATGTGAATGTACTTTAAAGCGGTCATGCATTTTTATTATTTTATTTTTTCCTGAAGGACCATTTATTGTGGCAAAACAGGAATAGTTTGGTTTTCCGTGACTATTTTCTGTACTCTTTCTGACCCTTAGAAATTGAGTTTCTAATTGAGATTGGATTTATTGATGATAAATATAGAAACCTGATTATTGTGTTTTTGAAACACATTGTTTATTACCCAGATATGATCTGTTTCATTTATGTTTGGCAGACAAATATGCATCACATTCAGTTCAAATGGATGGAAATTTTAAATGCAATTCAAATGCATAAATCTTCAGTTTTGGCCTAGGTAGTACAATAAACTGCTTCATCTCAAAATATTTAAGGGAAATTTGATTCCTCATAATATGAACTAGCAAAGTTTCTCAACACCTGTTTAGGTAAAAACAGCCTTGTAGTATGAACATGACCTTGCTGTTTCACCATACAGCATGTTGGAAAATGTTTTCCTCAATTATTAATGTAATTTGTTTTGTTTCTAAAACACAAAGATGAGTTTCTTGTTTGTTTTCTGCAGAATGGAGAGGCGTCACTGTTCGAGGTGAACATCCGTTACGTTGGCGGACTTCTCTCTGCGTACTACCTGACGGGAGCTGAGGTAAGATTCAGTCTCATCTGTGCTTCTCGCTTAAGTTTGACTCGTTTTAATGTAATTAGTTGGAACAGGAGTTCATGTTTAATCATAAAAGTTACAGCGAGATCACATATGCGTGGTTAATCTGAAATGGGCCAAGTTTTGAAACCCGAGGGCATCATATTAAAGTCGAAAGTAAAATAAAGGCGACACTCAGAGTCGTGAGTCAACCTAATGGACATTGATTTTCAGTCAGAATTAGTCAAAGAGGAAGACGGATGCTCTGTTTTCTGAGCCCATACATCTGTGTTTATAGATCTGTGTCAGATGTAGACACACGTGCTACATATGCACATCACATGAGTCATTTTGATGTTTCATTGAGCATTGAGATGCTCAATATAGACATATTTGTTTGAGAGATGGGAGCATATAGTAGGAATACAATTGTAAAATGTGATATTCTCCATCATTTTTATTAGATCGACCGATACTTATTTTTTAGAACCAATACTGATGCCGATTATCTGTATGTTCAATAACCGATATGCAGAACTGATATTTATTTACTGTTTTACTTGTTTTTGTTTAATTTAATTTTCATATCACAACAATAAAAACATAGCATTTTTCTTTTTTCAAATAAGAACAACTGAAGCAGCAGCAACACTAATACAAAAGGCAAAATAAATTGACAAAGTCTAATGTTTTTAAATGGAGAACATTAATAATTGTGAAATAAAAAACAGAAGTTTTTGTAGTTCCTCTTTGGATAAAAGCATCTGCTAAATGCATAAATGTAAAAATGTCAAGGGAGGCTATCAACTTTGCATTAATGTAATAATTACTGGTAAATAAATACTGGTAAATTATCTGTAAAACCGAGTATCGGTTGATCTCTGATTCTGAGTCACTTTGAGCTTTCTTCAGCTTTCTAGTCATATAGTTATTGTATTTTTACTCCAAACTGTTGCCAGACTTTGACAGACTTTGAAGGTTTATTCAAACATTATATATTTGAGACATCAATTACAATAAAAATGTAATGCATATATTTAATGCAAATATGGTACTTAAAATGGTACTAAAATGCTCTTCTCTAGAATTTACGTCTTCCTGCAGTATTTTCTTCTTGAATTGACTCTTTTTAAATTGTTTTTATTGTTTACATTAACATTTATTTTATTTTTGTGGTAAATTGATATAATTGAGTGCAACTTCAGCACATTCGAGCAGATTATTTCATGTAGTATGACCAGATAGTCTGTATGTAATTTTTGCTCCATTTCATCTTCATATCTCAATAAAAACACAGCATTTTTATAACAACAACTGCAGCAGCAATAATAATATTAACAATAGGCGAAATAAATTGATGTTAATGTTCTCAAATGGAGTAATATAAAAGTGAAGGGAGACTATCACCTTTGCATAAATGTAATCATTAGTTGAAAATATCTGTAAAAATATCGGTTAAACCAATTATCTGTTGATCTCGAATTCTGAGTCACTTTGAGCTTTCCTTAGCTGAATTGAACTAACTAGGGATCTTTTTTCTTTCTTTTTTTATGGTTTACATTTACATTTATTCAAATTTTTGGTAATTTGAGCAGATAGTTTCTATGTAATTTAACTGTTACATTCATCTCTGATGGATGTGGACGTAAAGAGAATCTGTTTATGATGCTTCTGCTTTAGTTTTGCACTTTACTGAAAGTGTGCATGACTTTCTGTCTCCGTCTCTCACTGTCGATGGAGTTTGTTGTCCACGTCTCTGATAAATCTCTCAGGAGAGCTCAGCAGTCTGCAGTGATCTATCCCTGCATTCATGTACGCTGGGAATCCATCATGCATGTGTGTTCTGGATGTAGATTTATCTCATCCATCTCCTTCCCTGAGTTTCTGGGAGGTTGCGCCCCATGCAGATAAGGGCGGGTGATTGGAAAACCCACTTTTGCGAAACGGCCACGGTGGCGAGGCGTGTGTAAATCACGCCGACAGCATGAGGTAGGAGCTTTCAGGGAAACATCACAGGGCTTACAGCAGGATTTACAGCTGCAGAGCTCCATTTGTTCAAAGGAAAGAGTTGCTCTTGTTTTGATAGCCGATAAAATCGCTTTCTCTCTCTAGGCTAAACATGATGACATAACGGTCGCTATCGTCTCGGTCATGGATGTTAGCTGTTCTTGACTCTAAAACTCTAAATTCGGTCAGCCTGGGACTTATGTAATAATATACACATTCTATTAATGTTTTGTATTTTGAACGTCCAAAGCTTAACTGTTTTTTAAGGATGCATGATGCATTTTTTTATTTATCAGTATCCGTTATTGATGTATATCAAAAATATGTTAAATATAAAATGTGTTAAAACAACTAAAAATCAAGATTTAAAATGAAATTAAGTTTCTTAATTTTTTTCTTAATTCATTTATTATCCCTTAACAACGACCATTTTTATTTAAGAATTTTATTTATTTATTTATGTTAAAAGAGTGATGTCTAGACATTGAAAAGTCATGGAAGTTAAAATCTTAAGTTTTCATATTTCTTTTTTTATAATTAATGTAATTTATATATTTATTTTGTCAAGCTCTAAAGTATTTTATAGAGTAGAAGTTTGTAGGTAAAAATATTATTATAAAATATAATTATATTTCTAAAATAAAATTAAAAGATAAGTAGACACAGTCAGATGGATAGACAGATTGATTGATAGATAGATAGATAGATAGATAGATAGATAGAAAGTCATATATATATATATATATATATTAGTTTGTAGTGATTTATTTATTTATTTTATTTTTATTTATTTTTTTATTATTATTAATTTATATGATAGTTTTATTTTTCATTAAAATATTATAGAATTTTATAAGCCATTTATCGGTTGTCAGCCATAACATGAAACTAATTATCAGCTTATTGGTATCAAGCACAGTTTTAAAATAATTGCATCCTTACTGTTTGTAAATTAAAGTATATAAAAAAAACATTGTGCAGTAGCCATTGACATCCATCTGGCTCATGTGAACAATACATTTTTCATTTTATTAATTTTCTTAATGGTCATAACTGCAAATGTTTGCCGGAAGTTACTCGCCCATGAGATAAACAGCCCATCTCTATACTGGCAAACATTTTATTGTCATTATTAATATAATAAAATGTAATAATTTTTAAATGTATGTACATTTTGTGAATGAATAAACAGTGTGATACAGTGTAATGTTCATCCCAATATTCAGTCGTCATAATGTCTCTACATTAGCGTTCATTACACACTCGGCTGCTCAGTAAAGGTGACCTAAATCGTGTTTTCTTCATATGCATGTACTTTACATCAAGCGAGACTCATTTGAAGGTTCACATCATATGTATCATGCATCTATATGACTGTAAAAACCAGTGAATTTCTGCAAACTACTCAAAAATGACAGACTGGGCTGTAATCCACTCTGTAAATTGTCCCTGCACACCATGGCTACTGATGAATGTCTTCTTCCACTTGCCAACAGAACATCAGTCCGCTGTATCGCCCTTGTTAGTATGAAACTGAAGGGCGTTATATTACCTCTGCGCTTGTGCTAATTTACTGTAAGATCCCGCAGATATGCCAGGTGACCTGAATGAAGTAAAACTGACATTTTCATTGATGCACATCTATGTGTAATTGACCCAGTAGTGTAGAGCAGATTGTATTGTTATAATTAGCAGCTGGCATAGAACTAATGAGCTACTATATGTGTCTTTGCATGTTTATGTCAGTGCCCAGTACAAAATAGTATTATTTTCTTAATCAGTATTTTTGTCTAAAAACAACTTAACATTCTTAAAGCATGATAAATGTTCTGGAAAAAAATAATATTGCATAAGATATTTGTTGATTTTTTTAGCAATGTTTAAGCCCAGAGTTTCTGAGTGAAATATGTCCGACACAATGCATGCAGTATTTGTATTAATACTAAATTTAAAAAAAAAATGAAATGAAATAATTAAATGAAAATATGTTTCACTTACAATAAAACTATCTACATTGTAAAAAAAAAAAAAAAAAAGAAGATTTCTCAAAGTTTAAAAGTAAAGTAAAAACATAAAACAAAGATTACTGAGTATATTTTACAAGAAAAAACTATTTCAGTCTTCCTACTTTAAAAAAAAATGGTTTAATTTAATGTTACATACTATTAATAGTAAGTCTGTATTAATGTTAAAATTTCTTAAAATAAATGATATTTTTCAGTTAAAAAAAATCTACATTGTAGATAAAGATTTAAAACAAAGATTGAATATATTTTACAAGAAAATTATATTTTAGTGTTGCTACTTCAAAATGTCATATTTAATTTAATATTTTGTGCTATTTTTATAACTATTTGTGAAATTGAATAGCAATTGCTAAGTGAAAGTTATTTTGCCACCATTTTTTTCAGTGTAAGTTGCATGTATTAATACTGTAATATTGTACAATTATAATAAAATATATATTGATTCAATTTAGAGCAGCTTCATAAATTAAATAAAAACAAACAATCATATTGAATTGTACACAGAAAGGTACATTGCCATCTTGCTCTGACAAGTTGAATTTTATAATTATGACTTTCCCAACTTTCCAGGAGGACTTGAATGCACCATAATGTTGCACCAGCTTCATCTTTTGATGATTTAGCTCTTCGATTCTAGCTCAACAGCTAGGAGGTTAGCGCCATCCTCGTCTATAAGCTATTTATTTGAGCGATTGGATTACTAAAGCCTGTCCTCTTTGCACCTGCAGTATCTTGAAATATTCTGCATATAACCATTACGGCAGTAACGTCAAAAGCCTATAGCCTATTTCTCTGAGGAATTACCTCAAGATCAAATCACTGTTGGTATTAGCTTGCGTCTCTTTGTCATTCCTTCACCTCTGTCAGCTCGCGGGATCCGTCTTTACATAAATGTTTTATCAGTCGAGCTACAGCGATCATATCAAACCATTCAGGACGTCAGATTGACCTGAATAAACATCATGCATGGTT